CCCCAAAACCCCAAAACCCCAAAACCCCAAAACCCCACATATATTTAAAGTATTGGAATAGAGAATTATAATTAAAACTTTATTACAATGAAAACAAATTCACCAAGAAATCAATTTTGGGACGATTCTTCCTGAACTGTTTCCACAGAGTACAATGAGTCTCCTTCCAAAAATAGTGTCTATCATTGGAAAGGTAATGCAAATGCTCTTGAAGATGTCACTAAAAAATCAAAAAGTGAGAAGACCATTTTGAAGCAGCCTATTCTAGATGACAATTCTTGATTTCAAAAATTTGGAGGCAAACCTGAGAGAAGAAGCCTTAACTCATCAAAGCAGACTTTATTACATCCCCAAAATTCAAAATCTCGTGGGTCTTATAACAAAGTTTTGGAAAAATTCAGAAAATCTTCATCAAGAGATGTACTTCACTTTGTTAAGAACTCTGAAAAAATAAGGTCTTTGAATTGGAAAGAAAAATGTGAGGTGAACAAAATGATTTCCTCATCAAGAATCCTCTTCCAGCTTAACAAGAAGCCTTAATTCTTGGCATAACTGTATCGGAAAAGGGGCTGCTAAGACAATAAATTTAATATTTCACTAAAAATTATTAAAGCAATTTTTCTTTGAGGATAATTTCTTTCTAAGTCTTTCTTTCTAACTTATATCGTTCTATATTTGCCATGGTGTCTTAATCTTTCTCTGATGCTCAAAACCTGAAATTAAAATTGAGCCTCAGTAGTATGGCAAGAAAAATTTTCAACTGCTTCTTTATAGAAATAGAGTCTAGAGCAATTATTCCTATCTCACAACGCTCTAATATATTATTAAGACCTCTGGTGTTCTGACGCTGATTTTTATTTCTTATCTGTTGATAGTTTATCTATACTAGTAAATCTTGGTGTCGATATCTTAAACCTTGAAAAATAACCATAAGCTCGCTCTCCTAAAATATTGAGTTCCAAAACTGTTAAGCTTACAGCAATTCTAGATAATAAAAATTGTCTAAGAGACCTTTTGGAGGGATTTATTGCAAGAATAAAAAAGAAGAAATTCTCTGAAAGAAACAAGAATTCCTACCAATTCAACTGAATTAGGAATAACTTAGTATAAATAGATGCACTTATTCGAGTTGTTAGACTTTTTGATCATAAGGCAGAGCATCTGAATGATAAGAAGCTTTATTGTGATTTTCAAGCCTTTATTAGTTACTTCTCTATAATATTTCATGCCTACCTAGCCAACTTGAGATAAATAAAGCTGGCATAAATTTTCATACCCAAAAAAGTTGTTTATTTAGTTGAGATCCAGAATTCTCTTACAGAAGAAAAGAAAATTGAGCTATTGGCTGCTTTTAGAAATCTGACTGTAAAAGGAACAATTTTCTATTAACTTAGACCCAATTTTTACTTGAAAGTTTCAAGATAAAGTTTACGCAAAAGATTGGCAAGTTATGACAACCTCATAAATGAGCCAGCATAATTATTTTGAAGACTCTATTCCGTAAGGTGATCTGGATATCTGAGTTAATTTCTTTTGAAAGATAAAAGAAAAAACACCTGAGAAATTTTCCGAAAGATTCCAAACTTTGATTTCATTTACTCTTAATAAAATTAGGAAAATATCTTAACCTTAAAATTTTCTAGCAGATCTGGTTGTCATGAATATGAAAAACTGGTTAATAATTTATGCTAAGGGCTCATTTATCGAAAGCAAACTCCTATGAACATTCTAGAACTTTCATCTGAGTTTCATAGGTCCTATACTTAAAGCCTTCTTGAGTAACTTAGAAATATTAATAATAGTGACCCAATTTAAAACAATGCGCTATGAGTGAAGAAACGGGATTCAAATCGAAACAGGAGCTCTGACTTGGGCACTTACTTTCTAATTAACCTTAATTTTTACAATCGTAATAATCCAGTTGAATCACTTCATGGGTGCTTAAGTTTTCTGTTTCAATTCTACCTGCTGGAAAAGGGGTTTTGGGGTTTTGGGGTTTTGGGGTTTTGGG